GTCTGAGCTTGAGCACAAGGTTCGTTGGGAAAAGAAACGCGAAGCCTGAGGCTCCGGAATCCTACCTTTGGTTAGTAGGGAATGGAAGAATGGTAGTAATGGTACTTATAATAGTTCCCATTCCTCCATTCCCTACTAACCAAAGGTAAGGAATGCGTCCACAAGCATCCTTAGGATGCGTGGAGCTTCGGCGAAGATTTGTCGCCAATGACGACAGGGGGAGCCCTCCGTACTGAATGCCCCCCCTGGAGCCCTGCCATTGCACAGACATCTGCTGTGCACTCAGGTATTGTGCAAGGGCCCCTGTCTCTCTTTGTGTGGAATCAGCTGGGATTTGAAGAAACTGTGGGAGCTACGGTTGATGATATAAATCCTGCATTACCCATAATAAGGAATATACCATAATTCACATAGTTTAGGGTCCTTAAGGTAATGCAGGATTTAGATCATCAACAGTATAGGTGCGGTTAAGTGTGCACTACTCATTGTGAGACTTGTATCAAAACCGTCCGGAGGCCCAGGTTCATTTCCAGGATTCAGGGGACCTTTTCTAGGTTCCCCAGCGTCTATATGGGTTCCTTTAAAGGGATCTATATAGGCTCCTTTAAAGGGATCTATAAGGGTTCCTTCAAAGGGATCTACATAGGTTCCTTTAAAGGGATCTATATAGGTTCCTTTAAAGGGATCTATATGGATTTCTTTAAAGGGATCTATAAAGGTTCCTTTCAAGGGATCTATATGGGTTAGGGGATCTATAAGGGTTCTCTACAGCTTCCTTTAAACGCTAGCTTCCCTCAGTGTCCCCTTAATCATTTGTAAGCGGACCCCAAAATAAAGAGGGCACAAGGGTACTGCTAGAAACCCTAAATCCTAAGCCCCTGAACCCAAAACCCAAAACCGTTCAAACCCTAAAGCCGAAAAAGGGAGGAAAAGGAGGTGCTACTGGGGAACCCAGCGTTTTTCTGACCCTCTCAGGCGAATCTCTGAACGTCAGTGACCTTGGCCGTGGCCAAAAGTGTAATCTGATCGTCGATCCTCGGCGGATTCGGCTTGGCTTATAGGGCTTATAGGGTTTACAGGGTTTTGGGGTTTATAGGGTTTATGGGGTTTAGAGCGGAATGGCTCTTGCAAAGGGTTCTATAGTAAGGGTTTCATAAGGGTTACTCTAACTAGGGGCTTTGGGGGGACTAGGGTTTGTGACTTACAACCCTAAACCTAAACTAAACCCTACATCCTAAACCCTAAACCCTAAACCTGGATTTGGGCTTTGAGGTTTCGGGTTTGGGGCATACGAAGTTGAGACTTTATGGGTTTTGCGGGCCCTCGCGCCTCGCACTGGGGAAGACCCTGAACCCGGGAAGATCCTAAAGCCAAGAAGCTGTTGATGATACATAAATCCTGCATTAGGGTTTAGGGTTTAGGGTTTAGGATTTAGGGTTTAGGGTTTAGGGTTTAGGGTATATTCCTTATTATGGGTCATGCAAGATTTATATCATCAACCGTACTACACGCAAGGCACATGGACTCGCCAGGTAAGCTCCATTCACCCTCTGCGAGATCCAGAGCCCAGTTCAAAACGTGCTCGTTTAGGGCTCCTACTGCTCGTGATCTAAATCCTGCATTGCCCTAAGGACCCTGAACTATGGGGGATTATGGTCTATTCCTTATTATGGGCAACCTGAACTATGGGGATTATGGTCTAATGGTCTATTCCTTGTTATGGGCAATGCAGGATTTATATCATCAGCCGTAGGCTTCAAAGCTTACGGGTGTAGGAACCTAGGGTTTAGGGAGCCTTCCTAGGGTTTAGGGAGCCTTCCGGGGTGGCAGAAACACCCGACTCAATCGTATGCACTGCACTGAACTGTTCCCATTGCCTACCTTTGGTTAGTAGGGAATGGAAGAATGGTAGTAATGGTACTTATAATAGTTCCCATTCCTCCATTCCCTACTAACCAAAGGTAAGATTGACAATACAACGCCGAAATCTCACCGAAGCCAGCAGCAAATGATGTGCTGGGGCCACGTCACAATCAGTTGAGCGACGCCACATTGGACAAACTCCAAACCCACAACCCCCAAACCCCTGAAGCCTAAACCCGAAACCCCACACCCTAAGCATCCACGAATCGTTCTCGACAATCCTGAATCTAACCCTCAACCCCAAAATCATCGCCCTAAACCTTAAACTAATCCAAGAACCCTGAACTGATTCGCATAAGCCCTAAAACCCTAGCAACCCTAAACCCTAAACCCTAAAATCCCTAGCAACCTAAAAACCTAGCAACCCTAAACCCTGAACCCGAAACCCTAAACTCCTAGCAACCCTAAACCTCCTGGCCGGCAAGGGTCATTCATAGAACTAACCCGAAACCCTACACCCTAAAAAACCTAAGCCCTAAACCCTATAGACTATAGAGTCATTAAGGTTTAGTGGTCGGCAAGCGTCATTCTCCTTGCTGGCCTGTTCTGCGATGGTCGGCTCGGCCTCCTGGCGATGATTTCGGCAGTCTCGAGGGCACCTGCGAAGCGGATCGAAAGTTCAACTCGGGTTTAGGGTTTAGGGTTTAGAGTTTAGGGTTTAGGGTTTAGGGTGTAGGGTTTAGAAGCTAGAGTTTAGGGTTACGGTTTTGGTATTCAGGTTCTGGGCTTTAGGGTTTAGGGTTTTGGTAGGGTCAAGCAGGGTTTAGGGTTTGGGGCTTTGGAATCTTTAAACCCTAAACCCCTAAACCCTGAACCATAAACTCCGTGACCCACCTCAGAGTCCTCCAGCCACAGCTGTCAGGTGACAGTCTCAGAAGGTAAGAGACCTTTATTACTATATATTATAGTTTAGGGTTTAGGGTTTGGGGTTTAGAGGCCCTTATTTAAAGGAAACTACAGGTGGGGTATATAGGGCCTTTATAAGGCTTCTATAAGGTATAAAGACCTTCTATAAGGCTCCTATAACGGTAACTACCCACCTGAAAATGTCCTAGACTTACTACGATATATAGCGACCCTGACTGGTTTTGACTAGTATACACCCTGAAGATAAGAGGGTCCTGATCAGAAGGACCCCCTTTGAAGAGGCGCCGACAATTTGATGAAAACACCCTAAACCCTAAACCCTAAACACCCTAAACCCTAATCCCTAAAACCCTTAACACCCTAACCCTAACTCTAAACACTCTAAACACCCTAAACCCCAAACACCCTAAACCCTAAACCCCAAACACCCCAAACACCCCTAAACCCTAAGCCCTGAATGGTTGCTGGGCTTCGGGCCTTGGGGGTAGCAGCTTACGGGTTCCGGAGATCGGGTCCAACTCAGGGCCTTTGGGCTCGGAGTTTCAGGTTGAACTGAACCCTCCCCCTAAACCCAGAACACCAGACCCTAATCATGTTTAGGGTTTAGGATTTAGGGTTTAGGGTTTGGGATTTGAGTTTAGGGTTTAGGGTTTAGGGGTTTAGGGTTTAGGGTTTGGAGTTTCGAGGCCCTCATCCCTAAACCCTAAAAGCGCCGAAGCCCCTAAACCCTAAAAGCCCCTAAACCCTGAAGGCCCTGGTAGAGGGGCTCAGGATGACTTGTGGCTCAGGTTTTGGGGTTTTGGGTTTAGGGTTTAGGGTTTAGGGGGCTTTAGGGTATTTAGGGTTTCTGTTTGCCACCGATTTGTCAACCAAGCCACCAGGGTTTACCTTTCAAGCTGCAGAAGAAGCACCCTCAAGCCCAAACCACACACCCTGAACCTTTACAACATCAAACCTGAAACCCAAAAACCTGGAACCCGAAAATAAAATCCCAACACCCCAAACCCTGATGAACCTGATTTAAGAAACGCCGGGTCTTTGTGAGGGCTCTTGATCTGAACCCTAATATTTTAGGGTTCTAGGGCCAGGGTGTCTTGACCAGGTTCCTACATTACCTTCTTACCCTACACCCTAAACCCTTATAGCCCTTATAGAGCCCTTATAGATAATTCGAGGCACCTCATACGAACCTGAAGCCTTAAAATTTTAGACCCCTAAACCCCTAAACCCAACCCAAAACCCCTAAACCCCTAAACCCCTAAACCCCCAAACCCCCAAACCCTCGGCTCGAAACCGGAGGCACCCATCATGTATTTGATCTGCTCTTCCAGGCGTCTCACATTCTTCTCCTGGGTCTCCATTTAGGGTTTAGGGGTTTTGGGTTTAGGGGTTTAGGGGTTTAGGGTTTTAGGGTTTTAGGGTTTAGGGTTTAGGGTTTACGGTCTCCAGCCGCCCCAAAAAGAAGGAACTTCCTACGACAATCTAGGGCTTAGGGCTTCGGGGTTTGGTTTAGGGTTCAGGGCTTAGGCCCTAAACCCCTAAAGCTAAACCCTAGGGTTTAGGGCTAAGGAACTCCAACCCCCGGGTCCCACAAGGCCCCTCGGTTCATAACCAAGTTATGTAAGTTGCAACAAAAAGAAAAGACTGCCCAAGGGCCGTTTAGTGTAGTAAACCTTCAATCCTCAGCTGTAACTCTGGACCAACCCTAAACCTTAAACCCTGAACTCTAAACTTCACGCCCTAAACCCTGAACTCTACACCGGAAAGCTCCACACTCTACGGACCAAACACTGCTTAGACGCATCTTTACCACAGAGGGTTCACCGAGCGACGACATCGCTCGATCCCCACCCCACCAGACCCTTCTATACCTTCTTTAAAGGAAACTACAGGTGGGGAGTTTAGGGTATATAGGGCTTGTATAAGGCTTCTATAAGGTGTATAGACCTTCTATAAGGCTCCTATAACAGTAACTACCCACCTGAAAATGTCCTAGACTTCTGGCAATCATCACAAAAATCCCTTTGAACTTTGAACATGCAAATGTTCCTGAACAAAGGAGTGTTCACCTTTCTGTGCCCAAAAACTTTGGGGCTTTGCTTAGGGGAGTGTTGAGGCGTTTAGGGGTTTTGGGATGGGACTTGGGCTATGTTGTGGTCAGGGCATATAGAGTCGAGGGTTTTGGGGTTTTGGGTGAAAAAACGTAAGGCTTAAGGCTGTCTGCACCGAAGTGGACTTGCATGCCCAGTCTCCATCATGATCTGATCGATGGCTCGGGCCGGGCCCTTGCACCTCAAAATGCCGTCGATGAAGTCGGCACATGTAATTTGTCCGTCACCTGAGTCAGCGAGCCCTCAACTCCGCACAACGGGGCAGTGTCCTGAATTATGCATTCCCGAAGGTCTCAGTGGGAACAATGGTTCTCGACGCCCAACAGACCCCTGACCCCCTAGTCCGAAGTTACCAACACGGGAGGTCTTTAAATGCCACTAACTACGCCCACAAGGCCCGGGAAATGCTCACAAAACCCGCAACTCCGCAACTGTCAAACGGGTAGTTCTCTGAATTAGGGTACCTGTTTAGGGCCGGTGCCGGACTAAATTGGGGACCCAAAAAGAGACCCTAGTTTAGAGAACTACCCAAAGACATCCAAATCACTGTTGGCAAGCAAGTGGAACAACGCAGAGGACTGCATCACGTCGATCTCGAGTGTCTCTAGGTAGGTAGTCACCCGCGAATCCATGAACAGCTCATTCAGCTCGTCCTCGTCAATCAAGCCGTCCTGGCTCTCCTTGGCAGATTGATTGTGCAGGGAAACCCTAACTCCTAGCCCCTACACAGTCTTCGGAATAGGCACTCTTCTCACCGCAGGTGGAAACTGAAACCTCGAAAGCTTAAACCCGAAACAGCCAAAGAATGCATCCAGCTTGCATCAATCGCATTGAAGATGGCTTCGAGCTTGTGAATGTAGGTGGCCTTTCTTCGCAGACCTGGAGGACTAGTGATGTTGACAAACCAGTTGCGACTCCGGTTCCTCGGGATAGGGCTTCGAAGCTTTAAGAACTATAGCCTTCATGTGGGCTTAGGGGTTTAGGGTTCAGGGCTTAGGGTTTAGATGGGTTTAGGGTTGAATTTAAGGGTTGCAAACGTGAAATGCTCATACTATCATGCTTACTGCATGGTATACAAGGCGAAGCTATTAGATAGTGCCAGGCCACGTCACTCACAGGCCACAACCTCTTAAAGTGCTGAGACGGGCCTACAGTGTCGCATAGACACTATAAGCATCACCAGTAAACATCCGAAGACATCTGTGAAAGGGGTTAAAAGCAAGTCGACCACATTCAACACAAAGCAGGCGACTTACTACCATATGGAAGCCTGAATAAATATCACCAACATTATTCCTTAGCATTCCGCTTGCAACTAGAACCAAGTATACTCCAAAACCGCGTGTTGAAGTGCTATTGTCGCTATAGTAGTTGCCTGGGTTCTCTTGCATCATACTTACTGCAAAGCCTGTCAAAATGCTCGCATAAGTAGCGTAGCAAGCAAACCTAACTATGCAAAACAAAGCGTCCTAAATCCTACACTCGAAGCCAAGCCACCAAAGACACGGCCTTCTTGGACGATTTTCGAGAAGTCAGAAACCCTAAACATTGCTATATGACTTAAACCCTAAAGGCTCTATGTAAGCGCGCCACAAGAAGAGGGCCTTCTTGGATCGCCCTTACATAACTCTCAAGCCCAAAACCTTTCAAAACCCTGAAGCCTATTCCCCACCTAAACCCTATGCCCCACAAAAACTCAGGGGCCTTCTTAGATCAGTTTTTTGAGAAATCCAGAACTTTACATAAGGAGCCACGTTTTAACCTGAAGCCCTTAACCCGTTTCAAAAGAAGCACAGGGGCCGTCTTGGACCCCTACACCCTAAGCGCGAAGAAGCCTTAAACACCAAACAAAAAAGAGCTCCGGGCCTTCTTGGACCATCCCTTAACCCTAAACCCCAACACC